GAAAGATCGAGAGAGATGGACGGTTGCAGAGAGACAAACATAACGTGGGAGAGACACAATGATTCTGACACTGAGATATTGAACAAGAGGGAGGGGGTGGTACATGAAAAAAGGTGGGGAAGAGGCCAGAAAAATAGACAAAGATTTCTCTCCTCTCCTCTCCTCTCCTCTCCTCTCCACTTTTTCATAGGCAGTATTGAATCACTGCAGTCAATAGTTCTACACAGCGTAACTTAGAAAGATGCATTTGATTTGTGGCCCAGCATGCCATGGAAAGAGGAGGCCAGCATTTGATTTATGAGCCAGGGACCTTGTGGTCAGGTTCTACTAGATCGCTCCACCTCTCTGCCGCTTCTGAGCACCTAAAATTTAACAATCTGTCTGATTGCTATGTAGATATGTGCACTGGCCCAGTCCATTCCTGAACAATGCAGACTTTGTTTGGATTGTTAGGCAAAAACGATTGAGAAATAATTCATATTTCTGCATTAGAAACATCTCTCTGTCTCTTTAGTGGAAAAGGTAGAGAATCGAGTTACTTTGGTTTAATTGCTAATATGCAGCACAGAGCTCTTGGGAATGAATGTTAGATGGAAAAATGTAAGCAAGTGGCCATCCATATTTTAACCTGGGACATGTCTCACGAAATATATCAATGTGCCTACTTGGAGACTTACATAAACAATTTTTTTTAGTGAACATATGACCATACAGTAAATAACAATGGGGACACCTCAAAGCATGTGGGATATAATGTTTTTTATAATTTTTTTTTTCATCCTGTCAACTGAAGAAACAAAAAGCTTAAGTCACAGTCAATACAAATAAAGATATTTGTTAGATCTTCAAAGACATGAGAAGTTAAAAGAAGGACGTACTGAGCTAGGAGGAAGGACAGAGAGAGAGAAAAACATGGGGAAAAATGAATAATTTCTCTTGTTGTGTTTTTGTGAATACCTACAGTATTTCTAATCTGTTACCATGACAATGAAACAGACCGGCCGACCAAATTACACAGTTTGAAATGTGTCTGCCTAACCCTTTCCCATCAAAATAGTTGGCATGTGCTGATAATTAAAACAAGAGACAGTACCTGTATTGAGCTGGGCAAGTCAAAACAGTCCTTTGTGTTTCAAGGCACAGCATTTGTTATGATGGAGGCCCTCAATCACCAGCTGACTGGTGGCCTCCATCAACAGGTGTTGGACGTTTGCCTCAACAAAATAGTTTCCTAAAGGCATTTCTAATACCAAAAGTTATCCACGCCAATGGCATGGTTCTAGGGATAGTAATGTCATGGTCAGTGAGCTGCTCCACCACTTTGGACTTAAATATCTCATCAACTATTTGGGGATCTTTTGACTTTTCCTCTAGTGCCACCATGAGGTTGACATTTGTAGTAAGTAAAATGTCTCGACAATATTCGACAGATTCTCATAAACACGGTGAACATGGTTCAACATAATACGCTACTAAACATCAGCAAGTTAGCATTGTGAGCGTTTTAGCAAGCTGACATTAGCATTTAGCTCTAACCACCACTGTGCCTCAAGTACAGCCTCACAAAGCCGCTAATAGCTCTAGACCATTTTTCTCCTCTGTCATTTCTCACAGTGAGTAAGTGTTTGTTGTCTTGCTCGCATAGACAGCTGTTGGAAGAACTGACCATATGGTTGTCAGTTACTGGACAGTCTCTATAGCAGAAATGCTACACCAAACTAACGAAATCTAAGCATGATAAACCAGAGGGGGGAGAACTCAACAAAGAGGCAAGGCAAAGTACTTTTTACTGAAATGCCCCAAGTATGGTGCTTCAATATGGCCTCTGGCTCGATGCAAGCATCCGCTGAATTCCACTTATCCCATCTGCTCAAAGGGGGCAGAGGGGGGATCTGGCAACGGAAGAGACCATGGACAGAAAGAGAGAGACAACTGGAGACAGAATGAGAGACAGACACAAAGACGGCTGAGGGGAAGAGGTGAATTGGGTTGGAAAGACAGTGGAGAACAATCTGAAATTAATCTGGACACTCCAGATGGTTTGAAATTTGTGGATGTGTGTAAGCACATGTACATGTGTGCGTATCTCTTACTGCCAGCTTGTCCATTTGGGCCTGTGTATAGGTATTTATGCATGTTAGTGTTTTTTGTGTTACTTCAGACAAACATGAACATCTGGTATGTGCACAATTTCTGATCTCATTTCGATGGGAAAAAACAAAAACACACAGAAAAAGACGCACATTTTATTTTGTTTGGCATTTGGTTGACTAGAATGTGACCTAGTAGATAGTTGTCTCTGGAGTGTACAACACATTTCTGTATGTGTGTGAAAGAGAGTGTGTTCTCAGTAATATAAGGTTAATAAATCAATAGACATCGCTATCTGAGAAACAATTACTGCTGGCTTTCATGTTGGCCACACACACACACACACACACACACACACACACACACACACACACACACACACACACACACACACACACACACACACACTGTGCTACGTGCCCTGTATATTTGAGTAGCTTTTGGAGTAAACTGTATAAAGTGTTTCTCGAGGAGAGAGCAGCAGAAGATGAAAGATGGAGGAGAGAAGTGCAGGGAGAGTTTGTAAATGACGAAAGAGCAGTGGAGGAGAAGATACACAGAGGGTTGAGACATAGTGTGCCATAGTGGGGGATCCTTAAACCTTGTTTGTTTTTTATTTTTTGGCTTGGTTTTTTTGCTTTTACATGTGGTGCTGTACTGTTACGCCTTTGGTGCAGCTGCATCTGAACAAACTGTAGAAACTAAAAGTTGAATGTTGTTTTTTTCTATTAAAAATAATGTGTTTCTCATTTTGAAGAATTCATTTTTTGTCAACTAAAGCCAATTAATACATTTTTCAATTTTGTTACTGTTTGGTTAGCTGCTGTGTTTTGCCAGTGCTGGCCTTCCTCATTCAGCTTATTTTAGCTGTTACATAGAAGTGTAATGGTTTACAGAAGTCATGGTGCAGTGCAAATTTGGTACAGCTCGAAAAAAGTGTAAAAAGAGCACATTTGTGGGTGATACCGCTGTATATACCATACAACAGTGGAGCAACACCAACACAGTGTCTTATCTTAACTATCTTTGTGTTGCTGTTGTATCTGACCGGGAAGCCTAAGGGCATGCAATTCTCCCAGGCTGCTGTTTTCATTTGTGCTTGCCATTGTGTGACTGACTCGCACACCAATCAGCTTGTTGTGCTAACTTCAGCAGATGTTACTAAGGTACGGCTGAAAGTTTCCAGGCGGAACTCGCTTGTGAACTTTGGTTCCACATTACGTGCATCAAATCTACATTACTGCGTAGTCTGTGTAGATCTCACAGTTCTGGACCAAGACCCTTGTGATGGTTTGGGACAAATAAACAAACTGTTACAGCCCGAGGTTTTGGTGTACTTTTATTTTTTATTTTTTTGCCTGCTGCAGTTACATGTACAGTATAGCTTTTACCTGGTTGTTACACATTAGCTTAGCTTTTGAAAGCTTTAAGACTTGCTTTATCATTAATTTACTGCCTTTACTCTCTCTCATTGAACTTAACACTTCAAAGCTTTTCATGAATTCTTCAAAACTTAGCCAGCTATATAGAGTCTGTTTTTCTACATATGTGTCTGTGCAACTATGTCTCCTATGAATTATGTTCATACATGTATATGTAAGTATTCAGCAGTGACTGACACTCAGTGGGAATGTTGAGTGCCAGAAGCAGTGCTCAAATAGCACAGATTAAAGTAAAGGTGGTGTAAAGGCGTCTAAGCACTCACCCTTTACACCGGATCATATCACACATACTATGTGTCACATTTAGTATGTGCTCTGTAATTGTAACTTCAAAAGAAGTTTACGTTTTTTAAGTTGCATAATAATAATAAGCATAATTTAACCATACTTCATATATCATACATCAATGGTAACAATCTCTGTGATTCACTGAAAAATTCGTTACGTATGTCATGATGTGCAGCCTTTTCAGAAATGTTTAAAATGCACTTTGTGATGGATATGTTTATGTAAAAATATTTATGGATTTTTCCACAATTTGTTTTACTAATTAAAAAATAGCTGCATATGAGCTGGCTTAGGGGCAGGTGAGTGTGTTGTGTGTGCGTGTATTTGTGTGTATGTAGTTAATGCAAGAGATATAAGCTCTATATTCAATGTTGGTCTATTCACTGTGATAAGGGGACAATGTTAAGCCTTGTACAATCTTATGTCTAAATGTTTTTATGCTTGAGTGTTGAGTGTCTGTCATAGGATTTTAGTGTGTGATCACATGGTATATGCTGTAAAAACAACACCATACAGTATTTTGTGCACCATTAAGTGTGTATAAGTGTATGTATCATGGGAGGTTATTTCTGGTTCAAGATCAGTAGATCCTCTGGCTTAAAGGGTTAGAACCATGAAATATAAATATAAACAGTATGAACTCATTCAAGCTATTTGCATGAATGCCTCGCATGGCATATGCTATAGTGTCATGGGAGACTGTGAGGCATGTGTTGCATTATGTCGGAGTTGCTTGTGAGGACAAGGGCTTGTTGACACTTAGTTTAGCACATATTTAAGCTGTGCTCAGTGTTTTATTTCAAATACACATTATATGAATTCTAAAATTGGAAGATACAATTTCGATCCCTGGCGCCTACCTCTGCATCTCCCTCAAGTGTCCTTGGGCAAGATACTGAACCCCAAATGTCTCCCGGTGTCATTGCTGTGTGAGTGTGTGTAAATTGGATTAGTAAGTTTCTGATGAGCAGCTGGCACCTTGCATGGCAGATTCTCTGCCATCAGTGCATAAATGTGTGTGAATGGGTGAATGTGACATGTGTAAAGTGCTTTGAGTGGTCGGAAGACCAGAAAGGCACTATATTAGATCATTTATCTTACGTCTAAATTATATAATTCAATGCAAAATGAAAGTTTGTGAATATTCTAATATGATTTTATCCCATTTCTCTCTTCCAGCTGAATCTTGTGGTGGCGTAGTCCAAGGACTGAATGGTACCATAGAGTCGCCTGGTTTCCCCCACGGCTATCCCAACTACGCCAACTGTACATGGCTGATAATAACAGGGGAGAGGAACCGAATCCAGCTAACCTTCGTCACGCTGGCGCTCGAGGAAGACTTTGATATTGTATCAGTTTACGACGGACAACCGTCACCTGGCAACTTAAAAATGAGGTTAGAAATGATAATTCTATCATTCACAGTCTGATCTTTTTTCCTGCTCCTCTGTTGCTCTCTCTTCCCTATTTCTCTTCAGACCTCTCTGACTCTCACAGCTTGAGTTTAGCCTATCTTCTTCTCCAGCTCTACTCATACCTCCTCTGAACAAGAAGTTGGCATTCGGACAGCAGCATATTTCTTTTGATACTTATTTCTCCTAGATTGGAAATTACACAGTGTCAGCTTTAGTTATTTGACTGGATTTTCTGTCATATCGTATAAATAGTTTAAAAAAGGACACCCATTTTTGTGGCACTGTCTAAATGTAGATGAACAGAATAAATTGAGATTTGACAACAGACACTTTGACATTGAAATGGCTGGGGAGGATGTTTAATTGTCTTCTAAAAACGCAATCATTAACACAATCCACTAGAATGTAACATATTTAATAAGGAACTCTGTGTGTTTCATGAAAGTTCTTAGGCTATATTGTCACCTTACCGTATGTTGTAGGGCTTGGACTTTGCACAAGAGTACATACTGAACGGCAGGTGTAATAATACCTTAATATCACAGGAAGAGGCGTTGAGTAATGATCTACCTGATGATCATTAGGCTTTAAAACACTACCAGTGTCTCTGCAGATGTCTGTTTTAAATTAGAGATGCCGATAGCTGACCCTAAGGATCCGTATCAGGGCGGATGCAAGCATATTTTAATAGATTGGTATTGGCTAAAATAAACCAGATCAACTGACTGATTGTTTATTAATTCCTTGTAGCCATGGAAAGTGGCCGGATTCCTTATATTACCGTAATTTCCGGACTATTGAGCGCACCTGAATATAAGACGCACCACAAAAAAAATTGTACATATATAGGCCACACTTGTCTATAAGCCGCAGGTGTCCACGTTGTAACATGAGATATTTACACAGAAAGATTTTTTTAATTTTTAATTAAATAAATGCTGCCGTCTCCAACGTCTCACCATCGATTCATTGATGCCAAGCTTACGTGCAGCAGCTCTTCTTCGACAGCCAGATCGATTGCCTTTAACTTAAAAGCTGCATCATGTGCATTTCTTCTTGTGTTTTCCATGATGAGGGTGTGTGCATGATGCACAAAATGACTGAATGAATTGAATGAATTCAAACTGAAGGAATTCAAAACACAATCAAACTAGCATCTTCCTCTGTGCATTATCTCTTCCACCTGTCTGTCTCGCTCTTGCGCTTTCTGCTAGAGCGCCCCCTGGAGGACATTAGCCCGTAAAAATCTATAGATTAGCCGCATCATTGTTTAAGCCGCAGGGTTCAAAGCGTGTGGAAAAAGTAGCGGCTTATAGTCCAGAAATTATGATAGCCTCTTAATAATATAATAATATAATATAATGATGTTAGTGGTGTATTTTTTTCATTTGCGACATGTAATACTTAGTCTTATCTTCAGCAGAAATTAGGTTAAATGTCTTTGCTTGATAAGCTCAAGGCAAGCAAGGTTCAGTACTGTAATTCAGGCTCCAGCGGCTTTTGATAACCATGTGACCCTGTGAACCAGCATGTCAGGCTTGTTCTGTTTTACCAATGTACTTCAGAACATTGGGATGCAAATACAATAAAAAGGCTAAAAAACACTTAGCAGAAAAGGGTAAAGATTTAACTGCTTGGTATAAACATTAAAGCGCAGATGGAGCAATGGCAGAACATAAATTGGTTTCAGTATTGCATTTAATATAAGCTGTGCATTTCAAATGCAGTCCTCTTTCTCCAGGAGTGTCAAAGTTGTTAAGGAGGGTATAGTCCCTAGAAATCAAAGAGAGTAAATGACTGAAAAGAACAATGAGGAAAAACAGAAAACAAAATTCTTATAGGCTTATACATTTGCAAAAAGAAAAAAATACCTTTTGCAATTGAGGATTAAGTCACAAAAATTCCAATACCAGTTCTTGCATATTAATAATGTTGCAGTTATCATAGCAGCTAACTAAAATTTTATGGAGGAGGAAAAGGCAAGTGTGCTTCCATTTTTGACATTGTTTCAGGTTCATACTACAATGTGCTGCATGTTAATACAAATTATAGTATTTTAATTTTTTTTTTATTCTGGAGTCAACTGGAATGCATGGAGTGCAGACACATTTTTTAGTTTTTATATTAATGAATGTTAAAGGATTTGGCAGCCTTTGATAAAAAAAATGTGCAGGAAAATATAAGTCATTGATGAATTGGCAGCATCAGTTTGTGAGTTGTAGGACTGTAATATTGATGCAGAAAGGATGGATAGAATAGCATCTACAGAGCTGGCAAACTGTAGGTAGCTTATTCATAGTGCTCTGCTTGTGTGTAGGAGGGATGAGCTGGGAATGCACCAAGTAGTGTTTGAGGTTGGTGGTGCAGTTAGGGATAACACTGGGTTTTTCCTTGAAAACATTATATAGCTGTATTATGTGTCAGTGCTTGAGTTGAATACTTTTTTTTATTTGACTGGCTGAAGGAGAATAGTGTAGACTGCAGACTATACTGGTGGGTTTGTGTGGAGGCTTACAGCAAGTATGGCTTCTATTTGTGCATAAAGTTTCACCATCATATTTTTGTCTCTAGTTATTGCTTCTTTGCAAAGTCAAGGCTGCAGTAAACACAATTATTCATAAAGCTTTTTTTTTTATGTCACAGCTGGTCAGTTATAAGAAATATTAGCAAATACTAAATAAAATAACTACACATATTTATTGACACTGCTCTTTTACACAAGTATTGACAGTGTGTGAAAAAAGTTTAATGTTCTTTGATTCATATGTTTGTTGTGGTCAAAGTTGCAAATGGCACATTACCTATCAATAGAGCCACATCATAGTTCTTCTATTCTTCAAAATATATGTATATCCATAATTAAATAACTCACCATGTGAAGTTCAGAAAAGTTAGCGTTAAATAATACACAAAGTATGACAGCTTTTTCTTATGCATATTAGTGTAGTAGTGGTAGTAGTAGTAGTAGTAGTAGTAGTGCTCTGGTAGAATTTAGCATGATGTCCAATTTAATAATCCTGGATTTTCTATTGGTTACCGTAGTGCCTAAAAGTATGTAGAAATGTCGACAATGGGATCCTCCCAGACCCTCTGTTTTATTATGTACCAACCACTTTTCAACCGAAGTTGCGCCCTTATCCATAACACTGAGATATTGTGTTAAATCAAATCCCAAAACTTTACCCTCAATTAAAAACCTAATCAGTTCAGCATGATGCTTCTCGTTTATGATCTTGCCTGCATTATTCAACGTGTTGCTCGTGTTTTAGACCCACAATAAGTTAATAAGACTAAGAGAGTGTACTTTGGGCTTATGTTATGCGTGGCCTCACTGAACTGTGCTGTGATTATAATCATAAAATAGACTGGCTCAAGAGACTAGTTCAAAACACAGATTAATTACATCCTTTACTATGTCAATTTCCAAAATGTCTTTTAAAAATTAAAGTCCTAATATGTCTGTGAAATTAACTTGAACAGCTATTAATTATACTTAAAAAATCAAAAGACAATGCCAAAATATATGAAAGGGAAAAAATGTGATATATATGTATGTATGTAGTATGGGGCTTTCTCTAGCCTCTCAAGTACTGCACCTAGGACCCCCTACTGACTGTATGTGTTCAAAGTTGTTGGCCCAAAGCATGCTTCTGCTGGGATAGTGGAACCACCACAGTGTGCTGTCTGCAGGCCCTACACAGGGTGAAATGATAGCTGCACCCGAAATTTCCAGTGCTCTCCATAACTACAGCTGTGGTGTGAAGACAGGAAAATGTATACCAGCAACTCACCTGTGCCTGGCCCCTTTGGGCCATTCTTTGTTGTTTGCTTCTTCCATGACAACAGTGTGCTCCTGTCTTTTCTCTTGCCAAATCAGTGCTTTTTACAAACACATGCAGCATCACCTAAAAGCACATAAAAGCAATTATATCAAGTATTCAGCTCTGTGTTCATGTGAGGAGTCTGTTTGAAATGTTGGATACAGGGTCGGATAGGGCAGAACTTAATTTTTGTTGTGATCCTGGGACTTTCAAAATGTGTTGCCGCTTCTTATAGGACTACAAAGGATTCACCAATTTATCGACCTATATTCACCTCCTTGACTGACATTGACCTATCTGCAAACAAGATGGCATTAACCAATGTCAGTGGCCGACTAAATGCTGTATTGGTTATTTCCAACTCAAAATTTGGAACAATAATCACCTCTGTTTTCTAGTTGTTTGTTTCCCTGGCACAAAAGGGCAACAACAAAAAAACATCAGCATTGGTATTGGCCCAGATTTTCCCAACTGGTGCATCTCTAAGGACTACCACTTCATTAATTTTAAAAAAGGTTGTTGTAGATAACTGCAGTGGCAAGTGAGGTGGCAAGAGGTGGCAGCTGCATCCCTTTGCCAGCTTGGTTGCTCTATCACTAGTGTTAATTAGCCCTGGAGTTATTTGGCTCCCACACCAGGTGCATTCCAACCGTTCTGTCTACTGCAAACCCTCAAATGTAAAAGATCAGTAGAAGAGTGATGGCTCATTCTCTTCTTAACTCAGCTTCTGTGTTGATGTTACCACTTCTCTGAATGATGTGGACAGTAGGACAGGCAGTAGTGCTGAAATGAGACCACTGGCCAGTCTTCTTTCATGCCCTCAGGGTCTCCCTGGTGTGTGTCAGTGCAGCCAAAGCTTAGCTTGTAAGGCTTCCTCCAGCTCTAGCTGAGCATTGGTAGCCACTGAATAATTACACCCACCAACCCCTCTATGCTTATTAGAGTGTGACTTATGTTTTTACGTAAATATAAGAGCTGATTCCAATTATTCTGCTGCTGCCTGTTCTCTGTTTGAACTCCACAAAGGCAGTGGTCAGCTGGTTGACCCAAAACCCTCTCCTCCTCTCAGCTTCTGGTTGAATGGTGCAAGACTTGCTGATATGAACCCATCAGGCTGCCCACATGGACAGTAGGATGAAGCCGAGAGGAACTGACTGCCC